CCATCCATCCATCCATCCATCCATCCACCCATCCCTCTTTCCCTGTTTTCCCCTAGTTCTCTCCTTCCCTTTCACTACTCTATTTTTCTCCTTCCTTCCCTCTTTCCTTCCTTCCTTCCTTCCTTCCTTCCTTCCTTCCTTCCTTTCCTCTTTCCAATCTCTTCTCTCTTCTATCGGTAGAATAGCCCTCTGTGATATCAATGGGAAAGGGAGTGAAGCTGATTGGCTGTGGCTAGCTTAAGAATCATCTGTTGCTAAGTAGATTAGCCCTCTGTGATGTCACTGGGAAAAGAAGGGAGTGAAGCTGATTGGCTGTGGCTAGCTTAAGGATCATCTGTTGCTAGGTAGAATAGCCCTCTGTGATATCAATGGGAAAGGGAGTGAAGCTGATTGGCTGTGGCTAGCTTAAGGATCATCTGTTGCTAGGTAGAATAGCCCTCTGTGATATCAATGGGAAAGGGAGTGAAGCTGATTGGCTGTGGCTAGCTTAAGGATCATCAGTTGCTAGGTAGAATAGCCCTCTGTGATATCAATGGGAAAGGGAGTGAAGCTGATTGGCTGTGGCTAGCTTAAGGATCATCAGTTGCTAGGTAGAATAGCCCTCTGTGATATCAATGGGAAAGGGAGTGAAGCTGATTGGCTGTGGCTAGCTTAAGGATCATCTGTTGCTAGGTAGAATAGCCCTCTGTGATATCAATGGGAAAGGGAGTGAAGCTGATTGGCTGTGGCTAGCTTAAGGATCATCAGTTGCTAGGTAGAATAGCCCTCTGTGATATCAATGGGAAAGGGAGTGAAGCTGATTGGCTGTGGCTAGCTTAAGGATCATCTGTTGCTAGGTAGAATAGCCCTCTGTGATATCAATGGGAAAGGGAGTGAAGCTGATTGGCTGTGGCTAGCTTAAGGATCATCAGTTGCTAGGTAGAATAGCCCTCTGTGATATCAATGGGAAAGGGAGTGAAGCTGATTGGCTGTGGCTAGCTTAAGGATCATCTGTTGCTAGGTAGAATAGCCCTCTGTGATATCAATGGGAAAGGGAGTGAAGCTGATTGGCTGTGGCTAGCTTAAGGATCATCAGTTGCTAGGTAGAATAGCCCTCTGTGATATCAATGGGAAAGGGAGTGAAGCTGATTGGCTGTGGCTAGCTTAAGGATCATCTGTTGCTAGGTAGAATAGCCCTCTGTGATATCAATGGGAAAGGGAGTGAAGCTGATTGGCTGTGGCTAGCTTAAGGATCATCAGTTGCTAGGTAGAATAGCCCTCTGTGATATCAATGGGAAAGGGAGTGAAGCTGATTGGCTGTGGCTAGCTTAAGGATCATCAGTTGCTAGGTAGAATAGCCCTCTGTGATATCAATGGGAAAGGGAGTGAAGCTGATTGGCTGTGGCTAGCTTAAGGATCATCAGTTGCTAGGTAGAATAGCCCTCTGTGATATCAATGGGAAAGGGAGTGAAGCTGATTGGCTGTGGCTAGCTTAAGGATCATCTGTTGCTAGGTAGAATAGCCCTCTGTGATATCAATGGGAAAGGGAGTGAAGCTGATTGGCTGTGGCTAGCTTAAGGATCATCAGTTGCTAGGTAGAATAGCCCTCTGTGATATCAATGGGAAAGGGAGTGAAGCTGATTGGCTGTGGCTAGCTTAAGGATCATCAGTTGCTAGGTAGAATAGCCCTCTGTGATATCAATGGGAAAGGGAGTGAAGCTGATTGGCTGTGGCTAGCTTAAGGATCATCAGTTGCTAGGTAGAATAGCCCTCTGTGATATCAATGGGAAAGGGAGTGAAGCTGATTGGCTGTGGCTAGCTTAAGGATCATCTGTTGCTAGGTAGAATAGCCCTCTGTGATATCAATGGGAAAGGGAGTGAAGCTGATTGGCTGTGGCTAGCTTAAGGATCATCAGTTGCTAGGTAGAATAGCCCTCTGTGATATCAATGGGAAAGGGAGTGAAGCTGATTGGCTGTGGCTAGCTTAAGGATCATCTGTTGCTAGGTAGAATAGCCCTCTGTGATATCAATGGGAAAGGGAGTGAAGCTGATTGGCTGTGGCTAGCTTAAGGATCATCAGTTGCTAGGTAGAATAGCCCTCTGTGATATCAATGGGAAAGGGAGTGAAGCTGATTGGCTGTGGCTAGCTTAAGGATCATCTGTTGCTAGGTAGAATAGCCCTCTGTGATATCAATGGGAAAGGGAGTGAAGCTGATTGGCTGTGGCTAGCTTAAGAATCATCTGTTGCTAAGTAGATTAGCCCTCTGTGATGTCACTGGGAAAAGAAGGGAGTGAAGCTGATTGGCTGTGGCTAGCTTAAGGATCATCTGTTGCTAGGTAGAATAGCCCTCTGTGATATCAATGGGAAAGGGAGTGAAGCTGATTGACTGTGGCTAGCTTAAGGATCATCAGTTGCTAGGTAGAATAGCCCTCTGTGATATCAATGGGAAAGGGAGTGAAGCTAATTGGTTGTGGCTAGCCGAAAGATAATCTGTTGCTCGGTACATTAGCCCTCTGTGACGTCACTGGGAAAAGAAGGGAGTGAAGTTGATTGGCTGGGGCTAGTTTAAGAATCATCTGTTGCTAGGTAGATTAGCCCTCTGAGATATCTATGGGAAAGGGAGTGAAGCTGATTGGCTGTGGCTAGCTTTAGGATCATCTGTTGCTAGGTAGATTAGCCCTCTGTGATGTCACTGGGAAAAGAAGGGAGTGAAGCTTTAGAATCATCTGTTGCTAGGTAGAATGGCCCTCTGTGATGTCAATGGGAAAGGGAGTGAAGCCGATTGGCTGTGGCTAGCTTAAGAATCATCTGTTGCTAGGTAGGTTAGCCCTCTATGATGACACTGGGAAATGAGGGGAGTTTTCGGTTTTGCGTTTTCGGTTTTCTTTTATGTAATTGTTGCCTGGGCTTGGTCTCATGTAAGCCGCTCCGAGTCGCCATTGGGGAGATGGTGGCGGGGTATAAATAAAGTTTATTATTATTATTATTATTATTATTATTATTATTATTAAGCCAATTGGCTGTCGCTAGTTTAAGAATCATCTGTTGCTAGGTAGATTAGCCCTCTGTGACGTCACTGGGGAAGGAAGGGGGTGAAGCTGATTGGCTGTGACTAGCTTAAGGATCATCAGTTGCTAGGTAGATTAGTCCTCTGTGATGTCAATGGGAAAGGGAGTGAATCTGATTGGCTGTGGCTAGCTTAAGGATCATCTGTTGCTAGGTAGATTAGTCCTCTGTGATGTCTATGGGAAAGGGAGTGAATCTGATTGGCTGTGGCTAGCTTAAGGATCATCTGTTGCTAGGTAGAATAGCCCTCTGTGATGTCACTGGGAAAAGAAGGGAGTTGAGCTTTAGTATCATTTGTTGCTAGGTAGAATAGCCCTCTGTGATATCAATGGGAAAGGGAGTGAAGCTGATTGGCTGTGGCTAGCTTAAGGATAATAATAAGGGTGTCTTCCAAAAAATAAAATGCAATGCCATGTGCAAATGACAGAATAAGCTAACCGAAGAAATAATTAAAATTAAGAGTTAAAATAGACAATTAAAATCACTGAATAAAATCAACCTTAGCAAAAACATACCATCAATCAGGCCTCATAGTTCACACATCTGTTGCTAGGTAGATTAGCCCTCTGTGATGTCACTGGGAAAGGAAGGGAGTGAAGCCGATTGGCTGGGGCTAGTTTAAGAATCATCTGTTGCTAGGTAAAGTAGCCCTCTGTGAGTTCCAGAGTCGAGGGGCCACCACCGAGAAGGCCCTGTCGCTTGCGAGGGTGGTGGGACCGAGAGCAGGGCCCCTCCAGACGATCTTAACAACCTTGATGGTTCATAGGGGAGAATCCGTTCGGACAGGTAAACTGGGCTGTGATATCAATGGGAAAGGGAGTGAAGCTGATTGGCTGTGGCTAGCTTAAGGATCATCAGTTGCTAGGTAGAATAGCCCTCTGTGATATCAATGGGAAAGGGAGTGAAGCTAATTGGTTGTGGCTAGCTGAAAGATCATCTGTTGCTCGGTAGATTAGCCCTCTGTGACGTCACTGGGAAAAGAAGGGAGTGAAGTTGATTAGCTGGGGCTACTTTAAGAATAATCTGTTGCTAGGTAGATTAGCCCTCTGAGATATCTATGGGAAAGGGAGTGAAGCTGATTGGCTGTGGCTAGCTTTAGGATCATCTGTTGCTAGGTAGATTAGCCCTCTGTGACGTCACTGGGAAAAGAAGGGAGTGGAGCTTTAGAATCATCTGTTGCTAGGTAGAATGGCCCTCTGTGATATCAATGGGAAAGGGAGTGAAGCTGATTAGCTGTGGCAATCTTAAAGATAATAATAAGGGTGTTTTCCAAAAAATAAAATTCAATGCCATGTGCAAATGACAGAATAAACTAACCAAAGAAATAATTAAAATTAAGAGTTAAAATAAGACAGTTAAAATCACCAAATAAAATCAACCTTAGCAAAACATACCATCAATCAGGCCTCAAAGTTCACACATCTGTTGCTAGGTAGATTAGCCCTCTGTGATGTCACTGGGAAAGCGAGTGAAGCTGATTGGCTGTGGCTAGCTTAAGAATCATCTGTTGCTAAGTAGATTAGCCCTCTGTGATGTCACTGGGAAAAGAAGGGAGTGAAGCTGATTGGCTGTGGCTAGCTTAAGGATCATCTGTTGCTAGTAGATTAGCCCTCTGTGATGTCACTGGGAAAAGAAGGGAGTGAAGCTGATTGGCTGTGGCTAGCGTAAGGATCATCGGTTGCTAGGTAAAATAGCTCTCTGTGATGTCAATGGGAAAGAAAGCAAATAAAAAACTTCCCGGTGTACTTTTCTTTTTGCAAATTTTGGCCCGTTGTCTATCATCTGCAAAAGTCCTATTGGGCCCTGATCCTCACTCTCCCTCCTAATGTGGGGCCATTTGCATGACCCACATCCCTTCTATTCTGTCATCAATAAAGAGGTTGGGTGGCCCTAAGAGGCCCAGGGCAGAACTCAACGGCCTGCTGAAATCGAATGAGATTCTAGTCTATGGGACGTCATTCTAGTCTATGGGGTTTTCCCTTAGCAACGGGGTTCCAATGAGGCTCTACAGAAGCAATGGAGGGCTATTGTGATGTCATCAACATTTCCGTTGTATGGGGTTCATTGCTATCCACAGATTCCTGGTCCCGCAGTAAGTTTGGGGACGTGTTCCCCCTTCAATGGTTTGACTAAATGACAATGTTGCGAAATGACGCATTTGGGATAAGTTCATTAGGGAGATGTAGTCAAAACATAGGTCAAGAGGAATGTCAGATAATATATATATATATATATATATATATATATATATATGACATTTATATGCCACCCTTCTCACTGCAAAGCGGACTCAGAGCGACTTACAAAGTATATATACATACAATATATGTATGTTGCTGTGGCCCAGTCTGTGTATATGTGTTCTGTGTGTGTATATATCTGTATATATATGTGTGTTTGCATATATGTTTTTGCATATATGTGTGTGTATATTTGTGTGTTTATATGTGTACATGCATATTGTGTATATGTGTGTATATATTTGTGTATATATGTGTGTTTGCTTATATATATGAGTGTGTGGGTGTATATATGTGTGTGTATATTTGTGTGTTTATATGTGTACATGCATGGTGTGTATATGTGTGTATATATTTGTGTATATATGTGTGTTTGCTTATATATATATGAGTGTGTTGGTGTATATATGTGTGTATATATTTGTGTGTTTACATGTTTACATGCATATTGTGTATATGTGTGCATATATTTGTGTATATATGTGTGTGTATATATTTGTGTATTTGTGTGTTTATATGTTTACATGCATATTGTGTATATGTGTGTGCTTGTCTATATGCATATTTGTGTGTATATATGTATGTATGTGGATATGTATATGTGTGTGCATGTGTATATGTATATACGTATGTGTATATATGTGTGTATTTGTGTGTTTTTGTGCATATATATATGTGGATGTATATATGTGTGTGTGTATTTGAGTGTTTATATGCGTACATGCATGTTGTGTATATGTGTGCATATATTTGTGTATATATGTGTGTGTGTATATATGTGTGTATATATTTGTGTATTTGTGTGTTTATATGTGTACATGCGTATTGTGTATATGTGTGTGCTTGTCTATATGCATATTTGTGTGTATATATGTATGTATGTGGATATGTATATGTGTGTGCATGTGTATATGTATATATGTGTGTATTTGTGCATATATATACGTGTGTGTGTATGAATGTGTGCATGTACATATGTATATGAGTGTATGTGTGTATGCATATATAGTGTATTTTGGGGGTTTTAAAGTCTGTTCTGCTGGGGTTGTGTGTGTGAGTGAGTGTTTATGAGTGATGGACACTTATTGGACTGTTAGGTGTGTTGTGCCCAAATTTGGTGTCAATTCGTCCAGTAGTTTTTGAGTTATGTTAATCCCACAAACGAACATTACATTTTTATTTATATAGATTAGCATAGTACAATATCAGTATTAGATATTACTATATCGTACTATACCATCATACTGTAATATTATTAGTAATATTATATGTAATATGAAATATAAAATTATTATATTGTATTATTAATATTATTATATTGTGTTACATTCCTCATTTCTCACCCTGGTCTTTATTATTATTTTATTTTAGTTCGAACGGTCAACCCCAGGACATAAAATGTGGGATTTCCCATCACCCCGTTCATGTTGAAGAGCCTCTTCCGATTGACGACTCCTCTCGATGTCAAGACGGTTCACAATTGATGTGGTTGCCCTCAGCATCTCTCTTGGCTTTCCAAGATGGCGGGAGTGGCCTTGTGTGAGCCCAACGAACTCTACAATTTGCTGAACCAAGCCACCCGGATCTCCAGGTTGGCAGAGCCCAACTACCTCTGTCTGTTGGGTAAGTCTTACCCAAGAAACGTAAGAACGAAAATTACAAAAGTAACACAGAAGACTTTGGGAATCTTAATTAGGAAAGAAGTGGACGATCGTTTACCATTTTCCACATTTTATGGCTCGTTTTCAGACGCCCGGAGCAAGAGGGAATACAACGAAGACCACGTGGTGACGGCGATACGAGCCAAAACGGTGAGTGAGTTGCCCCTTTCGGGACTGCGCTTCTTCCCTCCCTGGCAGGGTGTTGAATGCCGCTTTCTTCTTCTTTTCTTTGCCCGAAGAACCCCTTGGGCAAATACTTGGTCCCGCAGACCGTCAACCTGGAGTGCATCCGCTACTGCGTGGTTTACGACGGCGTCACCAGTTCCGTGGAGGCCGCCTTCGACATGGATTACGACCTGTTCGAAGTGGACACGGAACTCAAACGTACGCGCGGCCTCCTTCCGTGTAGAAAGTAGAACTTCTCAGGGTTGGAGGATGGAAGTTCTCTCAGAGCTGGAGAAGGGAGAAAGTAGGCCTTCTCGGAGCTGGAGAAGAAAGAGAGTAGGACTTCATCTCAGAGTTGGAGAAGGGAGAAAGTAAGGTTTCTTAGAGTTGTAGAAGGGAGAAACTATAACTTCTCAGAGTTGAAAAAGGGAGAAAGTAGGCCTTCTCAGAGCTGGAGAAAAGAGAGAGTAGGATTAATCTCATAGTTGGAGAAGGGAGAAAGTAAGGTTTCTTAGAGTTGTAGAAGGGAGAAACTATAACTTCTCAGAGATGGAGAAGGTAAAGAGTAGGCCTTCTCAGAGCTGGAGAAGGGAGAATGTAAGGTTTCTTAGAGTTGTAGAAGGGAGAAAGTATAACTTCTCAGAGTTGGAAAAGGGATAAAGTAGGCCTCAGAACTGGAGAAAAGAGAGAGTAGGACTTCCTCTCAGAGTTGGAGAAGGGAGAAAGTAAGGTTTCTTAAAGTTGTAGAAAGGAGAAACTATAACTTCTCAGACCTGGAGAAGGGAGAATGTAAGGTTTAAGAAAGAAGGGAGAAACTATAACTTCTCAGAGCTAGAGAAGGGAGAAAGTAGGCCTTCTCAGATCTGGAGGAGAGAGTAGGATTAATCTCAGAGTTGGAGAAGGGAGAAAGTAAGGTTTTTAGAGTTGTAGAAGGGAAAAACTATAACTTCTCAGAGCTGGAGAAGAGAGAGAGTAGGACTTCCTCTCAGAGTTGGAGAAGGGAGAAAGCAAGGTTTCTTAGAGTTGTAGAAGGGAGAAACTATAACTTCTCAGAGATGGATAAGGGAGAAAGTAGGCCTTCTCAGAGTTGGAGAAGACAGAGAGTAGGACTTCATCTCAGAGTTGGAGAAGGGAAAAAGTAGGCTTTTTTCTCAGAGTTGGAGAAGGGAGAAAGTAGAACTTCTCAGAGTTGGAGAAGGGAGAAGTAGGCCTTTTCAGAGCTGGAGAACAGAGGGAGTAGGACTTCATCTCAGAGCTGAAGAAAGGAGAAAGTAGAACTAAGAGCTGGAGAAGAGAGAAGTAGGCCTTCTCAGAGCTGGCAAAGGGACAAAGTAAGCTTCAGAGCTGGAGAAAGCAGGATTTTTCAGAACTGGAGAAGAGAGAGTAGGCCTTTTCAAAGCTGGAGAAGGTAGAAGTTCTCAGAGCTGGAGAAGGGAGAAAGTAGAACTAGAGAAGGGAAAACATAGAACTTAGAGCTGGAGAAGAGAGAGAGTAGGCCTTTTCAAAGCTGGAGAAGGTAAAACTTCTCAGAGCTGGAGAAGGGACAAAGTAGGCCTGTTCAGAGCTGGGGAAGGGAGAGAGTAGAACTTCTCAGAGCTGGAGAAGGGACAAAGTAGGCCTGTTCAGAGCTGGGGAAGGGAGAGATTAGAACCTCAGAGCTGGAGAAGGGCCAAGGTAGGCCTGTTCAGAGCTGGGAAAGGGAGAGAGTAGAACTTCTCAGAGTTGGAGAAGGGACAAAGTAGGCCTGTTCAGGGCTGGGGAAGGGAGAGAGTAGAACTTCTCAGAGCTGGAGAAGGGACAAAGTACGGTAGGCCTGTTCAGAGCTGAGGAAGGGAGAGAGTAGAACTTCTTGGAGCTGGTGAAAGGAAGAAAGTAGGCCTCTTCAGAGCTGGGGAAGGGAGAGAGTAGAACTTCTCAGAGCTGGAGAAGGGAGAAAGTAGGTGGTCAGCAGTTCCAAGGAAACCTGGCAACACCAAGTAGATAAGTTGGTATGGTACCTAACTGAGTAGCTACACTAATTCTCTACTAAGAACTAAGTAAGTCGTTACTCTTGAAATGAACTTGCAGCTCATTCTGTGCAAGCTTTGGCCACCTCTTTGTGGTTTTTTGGGCAAACAGATCAGGGCACAGGATGACCGCTAATTAAAACATGTTGACCGACGCTCCTCTTTTCTCCGCTCAGCTTATGACACGGGGGCAGACATCAAGGAGCTGCGGCACAAGCCTTCCTCTGAGGAAAGTAAGCGTGATTTTCTCTGTCTTTCCTTACATTCAATAGACACGTAACGTTCTTGGGGTGGGGTGGCTATGGGGCAGGTGGGCAGTCGTGACACGGGTCAGTGTCCCCACTCTTTCCGTGTTCCTCCAGACACGAAGGATGGGTCTGCGGCTCGTTGCGCCCGGGTCATGCAGCGCCTCACCCGCTTCCCCGTCCTGGTCCTGCGCGGAGGCTACCAGCGCTTCACCCGCTGCTACCATTACCTCCGGACCCAGAAGATCATCTGGATGCCGCGGGTAGGGATCCTAGAGAGGGAAGGGACTCCCATCCAGTCCAACCCCATGAATACTGGAAGACACCATTCGATCCCACCCAACAGATGGTCATTCATACTCTGCTTAAAATCCATATCATAGAATCCTAGGGTTGGAAGAGACCCCCAAGGGCTATCCAGTCCAACTCCATGAATGCAGGAAGACACCATCTGATCCCTCCTGACAGATGGTCATACAGACTCTGCTTAAAATTCATATCATAGAGTCCTAGAGTTGGAAGGGACCCCCAAGGGCTATCCAGTCCAACCCCATGAATACTGGAAGACACCATTCGATCCCACCCAACAGATGGCCATCCAGACTCTGCTTAAAATCCATATCATAGAATCCTAGGGTTGGAAGAGACTCCCAAGGGCTATCCAGTCCAATCCCATGAATACTGGAAGACACCATCCGATCCCTCCTGACAGATGGCCATCCAGTCTCTGCTTAAAATTCATATCATAGAATCCTAGAGTTGGAAGGACCCCCAAGGGCCATCCAATTCAACCCCATGAATACAGGAAGACACCATTCGATCTCTCCTGACAGATGGCCATCCAGACTCTGCTTAAAATCCATATCATAGAATCCTAGAGGTAGAAGGGACCCCTAAGTGTCATCCAAGCCTAACCCCATGAATGCAAGAAGACACAATCTGCTCCCTCCCGACAGATGGCCATCCAGCCTCTGCTTAAAATCCATATCATAGAATCCTAGAGTTGCAAGGGACCCCCAAGGGCCATCCAATTCAACCCCATGAATACAGGGTCACCATTCGATCTCTCCCGACAGATGGTCATCCAGCCTCTGCTTAAAATCCATATCATAGAATCCTAGAGTTGGAAGGGACCCCCAAGGGCTATCCAGTCCAACCCCATGAAAACTGGAAGACACCATCCGGTCTCTCCTGACAGATGGCCATCCAGCCTCTGCTTAAAATCTATATCATAGAATCCTAAAGGTAGAAGGGACCCCCAAGAGCCATCTAGTCCAACCCCATGAATACAGAAAGTCACCATTAAATCCCTCCTGACAGATGGCCATCCAGACTCTGCTTAAAATTCATATCATAGAATCCTAGAGTTGGAAGGGACCCCCAAGGGCCATCCAGTCTAATAGCCTTGCAGTGGGTTCATGAATACAGGAAGTCACCATCTGATCCCTCCCAACAGATGGCCATCCATACTCTGCTTAAAATCCATATCATAGAATCCTAGAGTTGGAAGGGACCCCCAAGAGCTATCCAGTCCAACCCCATGAAAACTGGAAGACACCATCCGATCTCTCCTGACAGATGGTCATCCAGCCTCTGCTTAAAATTCATATGATAGGATCCCAGAGTTGGAAGAGACCCCCAAGGGCCATCCAGTCCAACCCCATGAATACTGGAAGACACCATCCAATCACTCCTGACAGATGGCCATCCAGTCTCTGCTTAAAATCCATATCATAGAATCCTAGAGTTGGAAGGGACCCCCCAAGAGCCATCCAGTCTAACCCCATGAATACTGGAAGACACCATCCAATCCCTCCTGACAGTTGGCCATCCAGCCTCTGTTTCGAAACCCTCAGAGAAGGAAGGAGACTCCACTAGAGTCCCAGGCAGCGTCTTCTGCTTCCAAGCAGCTCTCCCCATCCGAATATGTGTATGAGGGGAAGGAAGGATGGGCCCGTTCTTCCTTCCCTCTGCAGGAACTCGAGGCCTTCAAGCCGTACCCCGTGGAGATCCTGCCTATGAAGCTCTACATGGGGAATTTCTCCCAGGCCTGTGACAGCCAGATCCAGAAGGACCTGAAAATCAAGGCCCACATCAACATCTCCGAGGAGGACGGCATCTTGTGAGTCGTACGGTCCTGGGTCACAACATGTTCAGGGGGTTCATTCTGCCTTCTCTCTTGGGTATATAGACCATCTAAGCTTTTGCTTTTTGGCACGCTTGTTGTAGCCTGGTAAGATTCTAAGTGCTCAGAAAACGAGAAAGGGCATGCTGGGATAGATTCAGAGGACCCAGAGGAGGATAGAAATGGTCTGGAGAGAGTTGTTTTGGAATCTCCTCTCAGTTCCCATCAGACTGGAGAAAGCAATACCAGTTCTCATGAGAATCTGCCAGAAGTCTCAGCTGAGAGAAGTGTAGAAGGTGAATGTTTGTCCAAATCAAGGCACTTGGAACTTCGGAGGGAGAGCGTACAATAGAGACAGACTCGCTTTTTGCAGCGGCTCAGAGATAAGGAGACGAGAAGCAGGTGTATGAGGAATGATGTCATGGGAAAGATTGAAGCCTTTTAGTGGTTTTCTGTTGGTACAATTCCTTGTGAGAGCAATGTTGTATTCAGGTGAACGGCTCTCGGTTCCTGGCCCTACATGGATTCATGTATTCAAGTTTCTAAGTTCGTACCTGTTTCTAGTTTGTAGGTTGCCTGCCTTGGATTCATGCTATCATGTTTATGGATATATCTGCGGATTGACTCTTGAGGCTGTATTTGAAAGGATTTTGGAATCGTGGCTCTCTTGGGAATATCTTGGAAATAGGATGCCTTCACTGTGTCTGGTTGTGAACCCCAGGTTGTACCAGTCAGCTTTCGTATGATATTATTCCTAGCACCCACTCTTTGTTTGATAGTCAAGCAGTGCGTCTTGTAGGTCAGAACACGGTCCAGAGTGACCCCCAGATATTTGGCTGTGCTGCAATGCTCCAGTAGGATTCCTTCCCAGGTCATCCTCAGTGTTCGAAATGCTTGTCTGGTCTGAAGGTGTTTTAGATGGATTAGGAATCAGCTGGTTTCCCCAGTAATGTTAGTTAGGCGATCCCTCGTTGTCTGAGTAGGATAGTCTTCCAAGATCAGTGTACTGGTGAGTCCGTAGGTGACTGTAGAGCCCTATTCTTGATCTGCATCTTCTTGATCTGCATTGGTTTCCAGGTGGAAGGTGGTCCCAGTTGGAGTTGGCTTGATGTGCCTTCCTCTTGGCACGTTTCTCTCTTTCGCCCTCAATTCGTGCCTCTAATTCAAATTCTACAGCACTGCTGGTTACAGCTGACCTCCAGCTGGAGTGCTCAAGGGCCAGGGCTTCCCAGTTCTCAGTGTCTCTCCTGCAATAGGCAGTAAGATCACCTAAAGCTTTGGAGAGCTTCTGTTCCACCATTTCAAAGCTCCCTGCTTGGGTGGTGATGGCACGATCGTCAGCATAGATGAAACTCTCTGTCCCTTTTGGCATTGAGTGATCATGTGTGTAAATGTTGAACATGGACAGGGCAAGCACGCTCCCCTGAGGCAGGCCATTCTTCTGTTTCCGCCATTTGCTTCTCTGGCCCTGGAACTCAACAAAAAAGCTCCTGTTTAGTAACAGATTTCCTATGAAGCGGGTGAGGTGGTGGTCCTTTGTGATAATATAAATTTTTCTCAGGAGAAGTGACTTGCAGTTTCCAGATCCTAAAAACAGTAAAGAGTATACTGCATTCTTGCTGACTTTGAAGAGCTTTGGATCTTTGGAGAGCTTCTGTTCAACCATTTCAAAGCTCCCTGCTTGGGTGGTGATGGTGCGATCGACAGCATAGATGAAACTTAGATGGATTAGAAATCAGCTAGTTTTCCCTGTAATGGGCAGGAAGAACACCTCAAGCTTTGGAGAGCTTCTGTTCAACCATTTCAAAGCTCCCTGCTCTTGGTTTAAAACCCTCCTACTAGATGCAACCTCTGTTCATGTCCAGCATATATTTTAAAGTTTTAACTATTACATCTGGCCCGGCCATAGGTTTTTAAATCCTTTTATGTTACTGTCTATGTGTGAGTTATATTAATTGTATTGTTTATTCCCTATTGTTTTTATTGTTTGGTTTGGCCTCATGTAAGCCGCTCCGAGTCCCTTGGGGAGATGGTGGCGGGGTATAAATAAAGTATTATTATTAT